ACAACTTTCTAATTACATGTTATGTCAAAAATTGCACTGCTTGTCTTTTATTTTGGATTATTCATTCAAAGATTTCACTATACAAAGACTTACTATACAAAGGCTTGAGGCTTTTCTAGGCCTAATATAATAAAAGCTTGAGGCCTTTTTAGGCCTAATGGGCGAAACCAAAACCTTGAGGCCTTTTTAGGCCTAATGGCCTAAACCAGAAGCTTGAGGCCTTTTTAGGCCTAATGGGCTAAACCTGCAGAAGGGCCCGTACTGCTGTTGCGTGCTTGAACCCGCTCATTGCCGCTCGCGGCTATATTTCTTCTTCTTATTATTCTTATTATTCTTTTTCTCGAATAAAACGAATTGCCCAGACCAAACCGTAAGTCCTAGAGACATGAAACTTGGTCAATAGGTAGTAGTCCCTCCCGCTACTCAGGTTCGCGAAATGAGCCCAATCGGCCTAAAGGTGGCGCTATTGCGCAACACAACGCATTTGGCTCTATAATTCCTTCTGCAGATTTTTGCCAGACATGACATATTTTTTTCCTGATTCGTTGGGTCCAACAAAACAACTTTGTAATTTGGACCATTAGGCTCCGCCCACTTAGATTTTGAGCTAATTTGCATAATATGCAAAAACTACTTTTGCGAACTCGTCCTACAGTTTTCATCCAATCCTCATGTTCTTGGTGTCAAAAAATTCAGCATAGCCTAAGACTCAATGATTATCCAGCACATTTTCAATTTTGTCACCAAAATGGCTGCCATATGCAAATTAATCCTTCTGGAAAAATCAAAATAATTCTTATTTAATTGAAAAATCTGTAACTCAAGAATCCTTCACCCAAAAAATTTGAAACTTGACAGGCTTATTCCTAATGAGACTCTGAGGACACCTATCCATTTTTGTGCACATTGGTCATTAGGGGGCGCTGTAAATGCTTAATGTGCCTTAATAGCTGTTTCTCAGCATCTGTACATCCGATCACGTTGAAACTTTGCAAGTATCATCTACTTTAAGTGATTCTTTAAGGACACTTTGATATATTGAAATCTATGGCCGCCATCGGCCAATAAGCTTTCAGCAGCCATTTGACAGGCTTAGCCTTGGCCAATCCTCATGATACTTGACAGCTATCTCTATCTCACCACCTTCTAACAACCTGCGAAGTTTCAAAACATTTGGCCACTGGGGGGCGCTATAACAGAAAATCAAGTATATCTTGTACAGATTGTTATTTTTGGTCAAATAACTTAGATGACCTCATGCAGTGCAGTGTTCCAAACACTTTTGTCATTTGAAGTCTATTAAAAAAGTGCTTAGTTTTTTTTCAATCGTCAAATGTTTGAAATTAGCACTTTTCGAACTAGTCCGTGGAATTTGAAGCTACCTTCTCAAATCTGGTCTAGAAATACTCTGTAGCCTCTCTAGGTAAATAATTATCCAGCACATTTTCCATTTTTTGCTAATTGTGGCTTTCCTCCATCACTAAATCATTGTAGCCATAGCTTTGCTAGCTTAAATTGCTATAACTCATCAGTCCTTGGTCCGATCATCTCAAAATTGTAAATATATTTATAAATTGAGACTCTGATGTGGCTTGCAAACTTTGATCCTGATTGGCCAATAGGTGGCGCTTTAGCACTCAAAAACACCTAAAATCTTTAAAAATGTTGTTACAACAATACTACAAAGTCTACAGATAAATAAGAGGTGTCATTTGATTCAGTTCACTGATGTTAATAACTTTCTAATTACATGTTGTGTCATAAATTGGACTCCTTCTCTGGTATTTTGAATTATTCATTTAAAGACTACAGCTTGTAATACCAAGGTCAAAAGGTCAATCTGAACAAAACTTGGTGAACATCTTTGACAAAGGTCCCTGATCAATGTTCATAACATTTGAAGACGTTTGGACCAATTTTCACCCACTTTCACTGAGGTCCTTTATGCTTGAAGGGGTCCATTGGGTCCATTGGGTCTGTTTATGTCATCCTTATCAAAGGTTTTAACATGGAGAAACAAAGTACTTTGCAAACACAACAAAGTCAGAAATGTTACCATTACTCATGTATTCCTTCAAACCTTTGTAGATCAGTAAATTGAAATATAAACGTATATTAGGTTTTAAAGCCCGTGCTCATTGTTCTTGACAAATGAAGGCCTGTTGATAAACTCTGATTTCTTTTCGGCCTCTCTGCCTCGAAGGCCCAAAGTGCGTTAGGCCTTATTAGGCCTATTAGGCTTAAAGTGCATGAGAGTTTCTTGGGCTTATGAGTGCTTGGACCCGCTCATTGCCGCTTGCGGCTATATTTATTATTCTTTTTCTTCCCTGAAACGGAACGCACAGCCCAAACCGTAAGTCCTAGAGACTTGAAACTTGGTCAATAGGTAGTAGTCCCTCCCACTACTCAGGCGCAAGGAATCAGCCCAATCGGCCACAAGGGGGCGCTATAGCGCAGGTCAACGCGTTTTGGCCTATAACTCCTAAACCAGATTTTTGCCAGCTAAGTCATATTTTTTTCCTGGTTCCTTGGGTCCAAACAAACAACTTTGCTATTTGGTTTGTCAATCTCCGCCCAGAAAATTTTTTCGCAATATTGCAAAATATGCGAAACCTACTTTTGCGAACTAGTCCTCCAATTTTTGCCCGATCCTCATCCATTTGGTGTAAAAAAATTCAGAAGAGCCTCAAGGTCAATAATTATCAAAAACATTTTAAGTTTTCCATACAACATGGCTGCCATATGCAAATGAACCCTTCTGGATAAATTCAAAATAATTCAGAATTAATTGAAAAATCTGTAACTCAAGAATCCTTCAGCCAAAAAATTTCAAACTTCACAGGCCATGCCAGTAGCCTATTCTGAGGTAGCCATTCGATTTTTGTGCGCATAAGTAATTAGGGGGCGGAGCAACAAAAACAGGGCATTTTCTCTGCCTCTGAACATCCGATCAAGCTGAAACTTTGCATCCAGCATCCTCTCGCCAGTCTACAAGTGTGCATTGAAGGACGTTTGGATACATCGAAATTTGTGGTCGCCATCGGCCAATAAGCATTCAGCAGGCCATTTGACAGGCTTATCATTGACCAATCATGACGAAACTTGACTGGTGTCTATATGTAGCCACTTTCTAACAACCAGTCGAGTTTCAAAAGATTTGACCACTGGGGGGCGCTATTTCAAAAAATTACATATTATTACATGTTATTACAATATTATTACAATTTTCACCTACAGCCTATTGTAGTACATTGGGAGAAACAATTTTGCCTATACATGTTTATTAAAAATCTGTATCGTTTTTTTGTAATAGATAAATGTTTCAAAACCCTACTTTTTCGAACTAGTCTCTGGATTTTGAACCAATCTTTTCAAAATTGGTCTAGAACAATTCTTTGGCCTCTCTATGTAAATAATTATCAAAAACATTTTGACTTTTCTACTCAGGGTCATGTGGATTAATCACCAAATTCCTGCATATGTGGCATTGTTAGCTTGGTTAGCTATAACTCAACATTCATTGGTCAGATCATGTTCAAACTTTGAGGATTTATACAAATTGAGATTCTAATGGAGTATGCCAAGTTTGGTCCAGATTGGCCTTTGGGGGTGCTTCAGCACTCAAAAACACTGAAAAATCAATTAAAATGCTATTACAATGTTATTACAAGGTCCACATATAAACAATTGGTGCCATGTGACTCAGTCCACTAAGATGAACAACTTACTAATTACATGTTATGTCAAAAATTGCACTGCTTGTCTTTTATTTTGGCTTATTCATTCAAAGATTTCACTATACGAAGACTTACTATACAAAGGCTTGAGGCCTGTTTAGGCCTAATATAATAAAAGGCTTGAGGCCTTTTTAGGCCTAATGGGCGAAACCAAAAGCTTGAGGCCTTTTTAGGCCTAATGGCCTAAACCAGAAGCTTGAGGCCTTTTTAGGCCTAATGGGCTAAACCTGCAGAAGAGCCCGTACTGCTGTTGCGTGCTTGAACCCGCTCATTGCCGCTTGCGGCTATATTTTTTGTTGTTATTGCTGTGCACCTAGGCCAACCCTGAAAAACAACACCATAGCATTATCCCCTCTCCACCAAACTTTACATTTGGCATAATGCAGTCAGGCAGGTAACTTTTTCCTGGCATTTGCCAAACTCATAATCATCCATCAGACTGCCAGATAAGGAAGCGTGATTCGTCACTCTGTAGAACATGTTTCCACTGCTCCAGAGTCCAGTGGCGGCACTCCATCTGCCACTTGGCATTGTGCTTGGTGATGTAAGGATTGCATGCAGCTGCTTGGCCATGGATATCCATGCCATTAAGCTCCCTGCACACAGTTTTTGTGCTGATGTTAATGCCAGAGGAAGTTTGGAACTCCGTAGGTACTGAGACAGCAGAAGTGTTGGCGACTTTTATGCACAATGCACCTCAGCACTCTGCAACCCCGCTCTGTAACTTTACGTGGTCTGACATTTTGTGGCTGAGTTGCAATGGCTCCTAACCGCTTCCACTATTCAACTATACCACTTACAGTTAATCATGGAATATCTAGGAGGGAAGAAATTTAGTGAACTGACATTGCAACAGTGGCATCCTATTACAGTACCACGCTTGCATTCAGTGAGCTAGAATTACCCATTCTTTCACAAATGTTTGTAAAGGCAGACTGCAAGGCTCGGTGCTATTATATACACCTGTGGCAATGGGACAGAATGAAACACTTGAGTTAATGATTACTAAAAGGTGTGTCTCAATACGATAGCATTTGTCCATATAGTGTAGCTGTAACTGTTTTTAGGTGGAAAAATCTTTCTAATGGTCAATTTTCAGTAAATAATACCAATGTGATTAACTGTGATTAACTGCGATTAATTACACACAATATTACAGAATAAAGAAATTTAAGAGAGGGAGGGAACACTTATGACCCTTCAGGTTTGGAACTTTGGCCATAAGCTATTTTCAATGCTGATTCCAGTAAAGCCCTCCCTTACCTTCTCTCCCATCGACACCCCTCCAGACGTGATGATGACATCTGCACGGCTGATGCCCTCACTCAGGGCGTTCAGCAGGTCGTCTGGGCTGCAGGGAGAAACAGGAATGAAAGGGCACGATTATGTTTATGAAGTTATTGTTCTCTACTTATACCCATTACGACTAAATACTAAAGGCTCTATGCGGCCATTTCTCTTTTAGCGGAGAGGCAGCACTATTCTCTCCACAGTATAATACTACTAGTTCAATCCTATACTAATGCTCAAATCAAGGTCTAGAATCCAGGGACTGTATTACAGAAACTTCCTATTTTTTTTAATATATGACAGGTGAAGATAAGATTTTTCACAAATTTGTACTACAGAACCAAATCTCATCTTAATTTAAGAAACCTATTTTACAGCACCTTAAATTTGGAAATCTTAACTTACACAATCAAAGTCAACAATCAACTGTCATGTCTGTTACCTAGCAAGCGGCCATACATGCACAGCTGAAACGTAAACACAATTAAAATAATCAAGTTAGTTAGCCAGACAACTAGGTACCATTACTGATTACAGTAATGAACAGGTCAAACAAAACTAAAGCATGATGAACTTGAAGTTAACAGTACTGTGACAGCGCTTTGTGCCATTTATTAAGGTGTCGCTGCTCCCCAGTTTCAGTTCCCCAAACGCGTTAGCCAACCGCACCAACATTACTCCTCCTAATAAACAGTCACACATTCAGCTATGTCTCCTTATTATTCACCATTATCTCTGTAATATTTTATTTGATGAGTTTTCATCAATATTAACACACTAAGGTAATAAGAGGGGGCGGTGGAGATCATTTTTGCAGTGTCTGGGATTTTTAAAATGCTGTTAAGAAAAAAACGCTCAGTAAGTCAAAGCACTGTTTTTAGATAAATGTAAAGTTATTATGTAACTAATTGTAACTATGATGTCTGTCACAACATAAAACAATAAAAATCAGATGGTTAAAACTGAAGTTAAGACAACTTTGGGGCTGTCAAAATTAGGACAGAATTTGTGAAATTTTGTCTAATCAAATTTAAAAACAGTTGTTCTGTAATAGCTTCTGTCCTAAATTCAGTCCTACCTGAAGTGGTCAGTGACTAAACAGATAGGATTTGAGAGTTCAGAAGGTTCTATAATACGGCCCCAGAATTCTACCTCAAGTATTACATTATCTGCACTAAAATAATAAAGTACTTAACTATCCAACCTAAAATATGAATATATGAACGATTCGACGGAATTGTTCTTTTTTTTAAGAACTTTTAAATTTTATAAGTGATATTAAAACATTTACATTTATCGTTATTTTAATTTTTCAATAAGAAAAACTTAATTTAACAAAATGTTTGTTGCTGTCCCACATTTTCATGTCACTACTGAAACAAACAGTTTTAGCCACAGGCGGAGGCTTATTTTAGCCACACCCCTGCATTTTAAAGCAGAAAGTGAGACTACATCCCAGTGTCTCATGGTCACATGCTGAACAGTTAGGTCCCATTGTTTTGAAGTCCCAAAGTCTAAAAACCTTATTACCAAAACATATTTTCTGTGGACAAGTAAACTTTTTTGGATTTTACTGAAAAATATTATGATATACACAGTCGAGTCACATTATTATGACCACATCCTACTTGACAGTGGCAGCGCAAAGCTCATGAAGGAAGTCACGTGTTGTGAGGTGGCTTGGTGGGTATAGAAGGTGTGGAAGGCACTCTCAACCGATTTGGGTATGAATCCATCCATGCAGATCACGTACACCCAATACATGCTGATTGTCTTTCCTGGGGTGGATGGGATCTTCCAGCAAGACAATATGACATTCCACATGGCTAGAAATGTCCGACATTGGTTGGAAACACATGACCAAGACTTCCAAGCACTACCCTGGCACCCTAATTCCCCAGAGTTGAACCCAATTGAGCATCTGTGGGACAACCTCGACCGTCGTGTTTGCTCTATGGATCCTCCCCCACGCACCCTCAGGCAGCTGTGGGATGCACTGAAGTCAGCATGGCTCCAGATACCTGTGACAACCTACCAGGACCTTATTGAGTCACTCCCAACCCATCTAGCTGCTGTCCATGCTGTCCATGGCGGTTACTCTGGATATTAGATGGTGGTCATAATAATGTGACTTGACTGTGTATGTGTGTACAACTGTTCAAAGCTGTGCTTGCTAGACATGTTCTGGCTAGTGTTTTTGAGCTATGTTCAAAATAAGCTTAAAACTATAGGAACAGTCACTTCCAAAAAAATTGTTAAAATTTCAGAGGCCTAATTATTGTATTGGTAGTGACTAAATGGAATGTTCAATCATTTATTTTAATAATAATAAAAAAATAAGGTATAGGGTCACACAAAGCAAAAAGATTTTAGTTTAAAGTCAAAGTCAGTCAAAAGTCCAAACCGGTTTTTCCACTCTAAAACAATTTGCAGCAGCCACAAATGAGTCCATTACTCATTGCCAAGTGTGGGCTAGAAGTGTATAGAAATCGTCAGCACTGGGGTGTGGAGCAGTGCAACTGTATTCTTGGGATTAATGGAGCTCCATCCAGTCCTTTTGGGATGATCTGGAGTGGCATTTGTGATACAAAACTAACCATCCAAAATCAGTACCTCACCTCACTAACACTCCTGTGACTGAATTAAATCTTCATGGCAATGTTCCAGCATCTAAAGTAAAGTTTCCCTAAAAGAGTAGATGCTGTAACTGCAGCAAAGGGGTAAAAAACGTCCTATTAAGACCCTTGATTCCAGATAAAATGAGTCGTTTTTTCAGACCTTTTTTACCCTTCCTGGATCGGGGCCTTGTCATGGCAGAAGGGCTTGTGTGGTCTAGGGATCTTCAGAGCTAAGTTGGCGGGAGCAATATGCTCCTGGTAGGGTCTCCCAGGGCGAACAGGTCTGGAGTGAAGACCCAGACTAACTCGATCCAAAAACCCTCCATGAAAAACGGACACAGAAGATTGTGTACCCTGCCCGGGAGAGGGTCACCGGGACCTACCCCTGGTGCCAGGCCTGGGGGTAGCGTCCCTCTGCAAGCACCTGGTGGCCAGGCAGCCCACGTAACCTGGCCGGGCTCAGCCCGAAGAGGCAACGTGGGGGGACCATGTGGGCCCACCACCCGCAAGGTCCAGCAAGGGGGAGCAGTGCAGTGCTGTACAGGCAGTGGGAGATTGCAGGGGGGCCCTTGGTGGCCTAGGCCCCTGTGGCAGAAACTGGCTCTTGGTACGTGGAATGTAACCTCACTGGGGGCGAAGGAGACGGAGCTTGTGCGGGAGGTTGAGAGGTACCAACTAGATATAGTTGGGCTCACCTCTGCCCACAGTGTCGGCTCTGGAATCAAATCCCTGGATAGGGGCTGGTCCCTCTCCTACTCAGGGGTTGCACAAGGTGAGAGGCGCCGGGTGGGTGTGGGGATACTCACGAGTCTCCGGCTGGCAGCAGTGCAGTTGGAGTTTGTCCCGGTGGACGAGAGGGTCGCCTCAATGCAAATTAAAATCGCAGAGAGGAAAACTCTGACTGTTGTGTGTGCTTATGCATCAAACAACAGGTCGGAGTATTCGGCCTTCTTGGAGCGAGTGGGCGGGGTTCTGGAAAGGGTCCCGCCTACAGACTCCACAGTCTTACTGGGAGACTTCAATGCTCATGTTGGCAATGACTGGGAGACCTGAAAAGGCGTGAGTGGGAAGAACGGCCTGCCCGATCTAAACCCGAATGGTGAATTGTGTGAATTGGGAACGACTGTTGGAGGCCCCTGTTCGGAATGATTTTAACTCCCACCTCCGGGAGAGCTTTTCTCATGTCCTGGAGTAGGTAGGGGACATAGAGTCTGAATGGACCCTGTTCAAAACCTCTATTGTGGAAGCTGCCAGGCATAGCTGTAGCCAAAAGCTTGTTGGTGCCTGTCAGGGCGGTAACCCAAGAACCCCCTGGTGGACACCGGTGGTGAAGAAAGAGGCCTTTAGGGACTGGATGGCCCGAAGGACTCCCGACTCAGCAGATAGGTACCGACAGGCAAAAAAGGTGGCAGCTGCAACGGTGGCAGAAGCAAAATCCAGGGCGTGGGAGGAGTTTGGTGATGCCATGGAAAAAGACTTTCGGTCTGCCTCAAGGAGGTTCTGGACAACGGTCCGGCGACTCAGGAGTGGTCGGGGTGGCTGCGCCCAAGCTGTATTCAGCAGGGGTGGAGAAACTCTGACTTCAAATGAGGATATTGTCGGTCAGTGGAAAGAGTACTTTGAGGAACTCCTTAATCCGGGAGACATGCCACCCTCACGGGAGTCAGGGCCAGAGGCCTCTGGCGTGTCAAGCTCCATTTCCCTGGTGGAGGTCACTGAGGTAGTTGGAAAGCTCTTCAGTGGCAAGGCACTGGGGGTGGATGAGATTCGTCCGGAGATGCTTAAGGCTCTGGATATTGTGGGGCTGTCGTGGCTGACACGCCTCTGCAATATTGCATGGACCTCAGGAACAGAACCCTGGCAGACCGGGGTGGTGGTCCTTATTTATAAGAAAGGGGACCGGAGGGTGTGTGCCAACTATCAGGGTATCACACTGCTCAGTCTCCCTGGGAAAATCTATGCCAAGGTGCTGGAAAGGAGACTTCGACTGATAGTTGAACCTCAGATTGAGGAGGAACAATGTAGATTCCGTCCTGGCCGTGGAACAATGGACCAGCTTTTCACCCTCTCACGGATTGTTGAGGGGGCATGGGAGTTTGCCAACCCAGTCTACATGTGTTTTGTGGATTCGGAGGAGGCTTAGGACCATGTTCCCTGAGATATCTTGTGGGAGGTCCTCCGGGAGTATGGGGTGCTGGGGTTACTACTCCAGGCCATTCAATCTCTGTACGCCTGGAGTGAGAGCTGTGTTCGTATACTCAGCATTAAGTTGGACTCTTTCAGTGTTAGCGTTGGACTCTGCCAGGGTTGTGCCCTCTCTCCACTCCTGTTCATGATATTCATGGACAGGGTGTCAAGGCGTAGCCGGGGTCAGGAGGGCATTATGTGTGGAGGCCGGAGGGTGGCGTCTCTGCTATTTGCAGATGATGATGTTCTTTTTGCTGGATCACATGGATGCCTCCAGCGCGCACTGGAACGGTTTGCAGCTGAGTGTGAAGCGGTCGGTATGTGGATCAGCACCTCCAAGTCTGAGTCCATGGTCTTAGCCCGGAAAAGGATGGCATGCCCACTCCAGGTAAGGGGAAAGGACTTGCCCCAGGTGGAGGAGTTTAAGTATCTCGGGATCTTGTTCACGAGCGATGGGAAGAGGGATTGTGAGATCGACCGCAGGCTGGCAAAGGCGGCAGCAGTAGTGCGGTTGCTGTACCGGACTGTAGTGGTGAAGAGGGAGCTGAGCCATAAGGCAAAGCTCTCTGTTTACCGATCGGTCTACATCCTGACCCTCACCTATGGTCATGAGCTGTGGGTAATGACCGAAAGAATGAGATTGCGAATACAAGCGGCGGAAATGAGCTTTCTTCGCAGGGTGGCGGGCTACACTCTATTTGATAGGGTGAGGAGCTCAGCCATCCGGGAGGAGCTCAGAGGAGAGCCGTTACTCCTCCTCATTGAGAGGAGCCAGCTGAGGTTGTTCGGGCATCTGATCCGGATGCCCCCTGGATGCCTCCCGGTGGGGGTGTACCAGGCATGGCCTACTGGAACAAGACCCCGGGGTCGTCCTAGGACCCGCTGGAGGGATTATACCTGCAAGTTGGCCTGGGAGTGGCCTGGGGTCCCTGGGAATGAGCTGGAGGAAGTTGCAGGGGACGGGGTCATCTGGGATTCTCTGCTCTCCCTATATGGACTAAGCGGTTAACGATGATGATGATGATGATGATGAGTCGTTTTTTAGACTTGTAATGCATATGCAATAATAATATAGATTAATTATGTAACAAGGTGTTTGAGAAATACAAAAAAAAGTGGGAAAAAATAAGACGCATATATTTAAAATTTAAAACTGAAAAAATTAGTGAAAAAAGATGCAAATTATCGCATAAAAGGTTTTTACACTTGGACAAAGAGGAAAAGTTTATCGCTAAAATAGATTTTTCAAGTTAACAATGACATAACGGGAACTAAAGTCATGTGTTAGCACTACATTCCTCTCAGAACTGTTTGCTGCATTGATGGTCCCAGGGGTTGGTGGGTGACGGCGAATTAGGACAGTGACTTCAGCCTTCTTTTAAAATGGGCCACTGCCTGTTCCATCGGGTGTCTCTGAACAGGTTATAGCTATGCATAGTTGACAGAGGTCTGTCAGAACTGCTCTAGTGAGAGCTAATAATAGTTTGAATCCACCATGTTTTTTGTTCCTTTGTCTCTTCCCTAGCCCTGCCTTACCATTAGTATTTTTCACCTGCATGTAGTTTGTTTCCCCCATTTCCTGGACATTTCTTGTCTGTATTTAGTGTTTTCATACAACAGTTTGTCTTTTTTTCTGTAAGTAGTTGTGTCTTTACTTACTCCACTGTACTTACTTACTTGCCCAGTTAGCTCTTCATTTTAGTTTTGTTTCCTGTTGTGTGTTTTTGTTTATCTTTCTTTCATTGGGTAATGGATAATTGTATGCTCATAGTATCTGCCTGCTCTGTTGTAAATGAGGACGTAAATAAATCTTCAAATGCATTTCATCACCCCCTCCCTCCTTTGTCACAATAATAAAATAGAGGCTTTAGGTCTTACTGTGGCAGATGTGAAACTATACTGGCTTTTATGTTTCTGGCTCATCTGTGATTGTAAATAATATTGTAATAAATATGGGCATAGCTCAGAGTATGTACTTGTCTCCGACGATGCCAAGATTAATAGTAGGATAACCGTGCTCCTGGATGGTGGCCAGTAATGTAGATCGGTTACTGTCCCTGATCTTCCCTGGGTGGAGGTCGTCTTCAGGGTTCAATAACTATACACACAGACATAGACACAAGTATAGTGAGACATACAAAAGGTTGTATGTGTGCGTGTCATATCGAAAAAAAAGAAAAATAGTGTCAGTATAGTTATAGTGCAGCATCTACTTACTTCATTGCCAGTGGACATGACTGCAACGACAGGGAACTTATGCACTTCCACCTCTGTGACACCCACAGTGGCCAGCAGGCCAATTTCTGATGGACCCATGTGTGTTCCTTTTGCCAGCACACATTCCCCACGCTTTATATCATGACCTATTGGCCTTGCAAAATTACATGAAAGTTGAACAGGAAATGAGTTGAATGAGGTAAAGACAGAGAATATTACATTTAAAACTAAAGTAGGTTAGTAGACTGGGTAAAAAAAAATTAATTGAAAATAGATGCAATGAGAAAGTCACAGTTGCACTGACCTTATGTCCTGGCCTGGACGTGCCTGTACCAGAATCCGGACCTCCAATTCTTCTGTGCCCTAAAACACACAGCCCTGTAAGTGAATGTTTGTACCTGTGTGTAACAGAAGTCTCTGAAATGACAAGCGAGTTTCAGAGTAAGCATGCGCACAGAATTCAGATCACTAACAACTTATTATTAACTTATTATTAATAGTTTTATTAGATTAACAATAAAAAAGCAAGTGATGCACAAAGCAGTCCTTTTCATATATTTGCTTGCTCTAAATGCTTAAGCAAAAAGGGGAGGAGAGGAGGGAGGGGAAGGAAGAAAAAAGGTTGTCTGTGGTTACAACACTCAAATGAGTGTATTTAAAGGTGTAGTGTCCTTCGCGACCTGTCAACAAATGCATTTTCTCTTACTCTAAGCTGGTACGTCTTTTTTTCTAGTATACAAATGTATCTTACAATTTCCACCCATTGTTCTATAGAAGGAGGTTCAATATACCATTTCTACAGAAGAGGTTCTGATCATTTATATCCCCAAGGTACATACCATTCTTTGAGAACTGTATAGTCCAAAATGTCTTTAACCGCATCATACATTTTCAAAAAAAAAAAAACCAACAATTTCTGCATTTACAAAAGATGTGTGTATGATTGGCCTTCTTAATCCCACACATCCTCCAACATGGCTGTTGATGGCCTGTATGTTTACTCCGTATTTCAGGTGTTGTGAAATAGCAGGTCAAATTTCCCATCCAAATTCTTTCCATGTCCTTGAATTAGTTGTCGTGTGTTGTGTTAGTCCACTCTTCCCTTGTAATGCAATCTTGTTTTGGAGCTAAAATCTAGTGGCAGGGCAGACCAGTTCGCAATGTCTCTTTTAATCCGGAAATGGATATGGCTGAAATTTCTTGATTTCATGAGAGGGAGAATAATTAAAGGCCAAGATCTGTCTTTTGTTAACATTCACTTTATAACCTGAGCTTTTGCCATATATGTTCAAGATATTCATCGAGCATGGGAAACCTGTATTAGGACTGGCCAAATTAACTACGACATTATCTGTGAATAAATTTAAATATGCTTGTCCTTTTATAGTAATTTTTTCTCAATTCTTTACTTTGACATACTGCTTGTGCTAAAGGTTCAATAAATATGAAAAAAAGAGGAGATAAACCACACCCTTGGCTGGTACCCCTCTCAAAGATTACTGATTCTGTTAAGCTACCATTAATTTTGATCCTAGCTGTTGGGTTTTGATATATATAGTTTTAATACAAATAATTGAGTCTTTGCTAAAACCAAATCGCTCTAACACTAAATATCAGAAATTTTAATTCACACTATCAAAAGCCTTTTCAGCATCAAGACCTGCCTACATAGTGCTCATTCCTTTCTTTTGTATTGAGTTTATAAAATGCAGAGTTCTTCTGATGTTAGCTTGTGTTTGGTGGCCTATGATAAAGCCTGTCTGACATAAACCTCCTATATCTCTTATCAATAATGATGGTATATATTGTGCTATCTACGCTAAGAACTGATATAGGATGAAAATTGCTACAATACTCAATACAATACAATAAATGGGTGTTTCCCTTCTTTGGGAATTAATGATATTATTGTATCTTTTCATGAAGAAGGCAACTGTCCTTCTTTAAGGGTCCCATTTCTTTTTTAAAAAGTTCTATACCATTCTCCTGGGGAAACTGTCAACACCTGGAGCTTTAAGTCTGGATATGGCTTCCAGATACTTCTTCAGGTGTAAAAGTGGCTATGAGATTTTTGTTTGATTGATTGTCTGATAGATGGTAGATCAAGAGAGTTGAGAAGTATCTATTTGTTGCCTCATAAGAAGTAGTAGGCTGTGTACATGGAGCTTTATAGTAATCCTTGAATACATTCTCAATTTCTTTTGGATTATGCAATTGTTGGTCAGAACAGGGATCTCTGATCTTGTGTATGGTACTTGAGATCTGTAGTTTATGTATCCTTCTTGCTAGTAATCTAGCAGCCAGTCTCATAATACAATTGCTTTAAAAATCTTAATTTTTTTCTCTACCTTTCCTCCTAAAATATTATCTATTTCTCTTTGCATCATCTTTATTTGCTGTAAAATATGTGTTTGGTGAGTATTTTGATATCTTATTTTTAAGCTTCTTAATTTCTCAGACAAGTTAAGATATGCAGCTTGTTTAAGTTTCTTTTGAAGAGAGGCAAGAGCTATCAACTTTCCCCATATAACAGCCTTCAGAGCAATCCAAAAAATAATAGTGTTTATTTCTTCTGTATCATTTTCCTCAATATATTGCTTACTTTCCATTTTAGTATGCTCAATTATTATTATTTCTTTTGTTCAAAATACCTACATCTAGTCTCCAGGTGTTTTTTTCTGTATATTACCCAAATTAATATCTAGACAGATTGCGTTATGGTCCGATATATCAGCCGCCCCAATTTTACATTCTGTTATCCTATGTAATTCCCAGCTGTTCATAAATACATAGTCAATTCTAGGTTGAGTGCTATGTGGGATGAAGTGATATGTATATTTTTCCCGATGGGTGGAGTTCCCGTCAAACCATTCCTTAATCTTTTGAAGAAGTCATGTGCATCTTATTCCTTTTAAGGCTTGTTGTGTCTAGATTGTAATCTAAAATTACAATAAAATCTCCTTCACAAATCCCAATGCCTTCTGATTTTGAAGAAATTCTTCTAAATAAGGATTTTAAAAAACATTTATCACTGTCTGGTGGGGCATATTAACCAATGTTACTTTTTTCATGTTCTAGTTTTCCTTAACAATATTGGTTACTTGTAACCGATTTCCTTACAGCATTCAAAGAATTTGATTAAGTATTGTTACCCTGCTCTTGAGACTTGAGCCTATGTGTACTATAGAACATGTCTCCAAACCCGAATTATTTCAGGGTTTAATAATCACTAACAATAATATAAGCTATGATAACGCCTGGCAATTTGATAAAAGAAAAGGAATGACTTCCAAAGTTGGGTGCATCTACTGCACGCCCCCATGCTGTTTTTGTGGGTCGAGGGGAATATCTCACAAAATGTGGGGGCCCCTCTCTAGCAGCAAGAGGTGGGCTTATTAGTCCCAAACTCTTACACATTCTAGCAATGTCCAGCTAAACTTGTCTAAGAAAAGTCTTGATCAAATCTGAACAACAAAGCAAAAACCATCCAACTTGAACTATTTAACTAGCGTTACATTTACTGAGCAGGCTAATGTATGCCAATCAAGCATGTACAATTATTTTCATCACCTCGTTTCTACTTTGATGTTTATAGCCTATCTAACCTTTGTTAGCCACTCAGCATATACAAAGCATTTAAATTTTTTCCTTTGAAATTCTTGTGTTTTTTGCTTAGCTCGTTTGGCCGTTGATCGGTCACTGGAGTTTCCAGCTTGGTGCCATATGGTGCTACCATGGGAGTGTTGTTGGCAGGAATATAGACATCAAACCTATTCCTCCTCAAGCGCTGTGCCACCTGTGCGTTCCTGTACATCTGTGAGCCGGAGTCCCAGTGGATTGTCATCTTGGTCAGGGGCATCTGGAAGCAAATATCCCTTTCTTTCAAGTCTTTCTTTATTCCGATGTATTCCTTACATTTCTGGTTAACTTTTGTGGAATAATCATGATTGAAAGATAGCATCCATCCCTGGTACTGCATCTTTTTCTGCCAGGTTTTCTTCAAAACCACCTCCTTCCTGCCTCCGTGTTTCCCTTTTCCTCTTTATCTGTCGCTTCAGGTTGTTTTTTGTAATTTTTGGTCTTTCTTGGTCTGCTTGTTCTCCCTCCCCTTTCCATTACAGACTGAAAACTGAATATTTAGAAATGTTTATTTTTAAGAGTGTATCAATATAAATTCAACAACGCTGTTAAGAATTCATGTTATTAACAGGGAAGATTCAGAGGTAGAAATAGCTGCTCAGCATTAAAAGGTTAAAGCAGCCTAAGCTCTTCAGTGTGGTAGATCTCCAGGGCCAGGATTCAGGGCCTCTGGATTAAAGGATAAATTGATGGAAGCAGCAGAAGCACAATATGACAAAAAATGAGAGAGAGGGAGAGATAGAGAGATAAAAAGAGAAAGACTCACGTCTTCAGACTCTCGCAGGAGCTCTGTATCCTCTACTTGCACTACAGCATCCGCTCCACAAGGAATGGGAGCACCTGTCGTCACCCTCATCACCTGGCCCGGCATCACTGTGTGAGTTGGCTATACAAACAAACAAACAAACAAACAAACAAACACACACACACACACACACACACACACACACACACACACAAAATTCAGTTACTATTTTACTGAAGAAGTAATATAATTTGAGAGGTATTGTCCAAACATTTTAAATCACTTGACATTTTGGCATTTTTTGTTGTTATACACGTTTTGTTGATTTTCTACATAGAAAGAGTACACAGCCTCTACAGACTAATCTTGCCAGGAGCAGATTAATCTGCTCCCGATCAAATTAATTAAACTTTTGCCTAAAAACTATTCACTGAGTAGTATTTTTGATGCTTTATTCAGTATGTTTATGAATTCTGTAAACAAGAGGTTATTAAACAATGTACTGTAATTATTAGGGATGTAACAATACATTGTGTCGTATTGTTTTGTATTGCAGTATACCATATTGTATTTTATTGTCTTGCATGTTAACTCATGGCTAGTATGTTAGCAGTAGATCAGGACACTATAAAACAAAACTTTCATTCACTTTTGTTATTTTTATGCTGAATGCTCTAAAAAACAGTAAATGAAACAAAAACATTAATATATTAAAGACTGGCACATTTTCAACTACTGCTTATTTTTACAACATCAAAAAACATACCTAATCAAGAAGCCACTGTGTCATATTGAACTGAATTTTCAATTTTGTCCATCGTTACACCCCTAGAAATGTAATTTTTATGTAATATTTATGTAATTTTTTTGTCAAGTTAACTGCCTTGAGATTTATTCTCCACTTTCAAATATAAATAATTTTGAAAATCTGGACACTAATTTCATCACAACTTAATTCTCAATGTTATACAGCTTTCTCAATCATTTAAGAATCCTCTGCTGATCCAAGACTGACAGAAACACACACACACACACACACACACACACACACACACACACACACACACACACACAAACATTTGTATTTCTAAACCCCTTATCCTTCTGAGTTGACAGAAACAACAGTCTAGTTAATTCTGTTAAAAAACGTTCCTGCCTAATTGTAAAAGCAGTTGTTGAACCACCTCAGAGCAAAGCCAAATTCATAATTCACATTAGTTAGCCCTACAAAGCATCCCCTTTGTTTTGCAGTTTAGTATCAGCTTAATGGTGACATTTTGTTTATTCTTATAGTTCACAGTAAGTCATACTGTGTCAGAAACCACTTCAATTCTGTGTAACTAAAGAAGATATGGATGTAGTTTGAGCATGTTGAAAGAAGTTTTGGGAATATATTTATGGAAAAGATTTGGGTGACTATTGGCTGTGAGTTTGTTAACATTAACCTTGTTCTTTCCACACTAAAGATTTTAAAATTTCTTGGGTGGTTGACTACACCTGGGGTAAGTGGAAAACTTGTGAACTTCACTTTTTAAACAACCATTCCTTTACTGTGACCAGGGTGTAAATTGACAAGGTGAAAAAGGGTCAGTGCTGTTTATTATATTATGTGCAAAGCAAGCACTGATTCATCACATTTCAAATGACTTTCATTATTTTGTTGCAGTAGTTAAGCCCTTAAACTGGACACTAAAAACTGCTGTAATTCCAAAAATAATAAAATACATATTTCCAAAATATTCAAGTAAAAGATCACTTTCAGCTTAGATCCTCTTTTAATTTAGTGTGTTTAAATCAGCAAAATCAAAATGAACAATAGAGACCCCATCCTACCAAATACAAGAGCACAGTATATCATCTTCCTTGGAAAAGAGCTAATAAGAATCAGCAGGATTCTACCAGAATAATTATATAATATGAATTCACAGAGAAACTGCAGAATAACAACAGAACAGGAAATGTTGTAAGTATTTAAAAAAAAAACAAAAAAAAAACAAAAAGAAAAACAAGGAAACATTTTACAACATTTTAAAGCATGCTTACTGACCACAGCTTCTTGTCAATGGAGCTCCCAGCTAGCATGCAGTCTGTGTGTGTGTATGTATGGGTGTGTGTATGTGTATCTTACCTGTTCCCCAGCCTGGGACTCCCCGATGATGAAACGATCTCCGGGGCCATCAGCAGCTGAGACAGAGAGATAACACAGAAATCAGAATAGTCATTGAACATTTTTAACATCAATAGAAAGAGCTGTTTGTGTACAGTGCTTCCCCTTGATTTATTTTTTAATAAAAGCTAAACTGGCGTGTCTAGTACAAACCTCCATTCCATTTTGGGGAAAAAAAAAGAAAAACAGAAGCAGTGATATTTAATATCTTACCTTATCAACTTTCTTGATTTTTGTAAAAAAAAAAAACGCTAATTCCAAATTTGATGCCAGCAACACATTCCAAAGACGTTGGGACAGGGGCAGTGTAAGACTGGAAAGTTTGCACAATGATCAAAACATTTGTTTTGGAACTTTCCACAGGTAAATACGTGAATATGTGAGGCTATCATTATTGAGTATAAAAGGAATATTCACAAAAGGCCTAGTTGTTTATGAGCAAAGATGAGTTGAACTTTGCCACTTCGAGAATAGTCTAACAATTTAAGAACAAGGTTTCTCAATGCACGATTGCAGGAATTTCACCATCTACAGTCCATAACATTATTAAAAGATTCAGAGAGTCCGCATAAACAGCAAGGCCAAAAACCTACATGGAATGCCCGTGACTTCTGATCCCTCAGATGGCACTGCATTAAAAATTAACAAGCATTTGTAACTAATATAACCACACAAACTTGAGAACACTTCGAAAAACTCAAACTGAACTCAGTTTGTCACTGCATCTACAAAAACGGAAGTTAGGCAGTCGTGGGCTGGAGGTTAGGGAACCAGCCTTGTGACTGGAAGGTTGCCGGTTTGAACCCCTTGGCTGACAGTATGTGACTGAGGTACCCTTGAGCAAGGCACTTAACCCCCAACTGCTCCCCGGGCACCGTTGATAGGGCTGCCCACCGCTCCGGGCAAGTGTGCTCACTGTCCCCTAGTGTGTGTGTTCACTAGTGTGCATGTATGTATGTGGGTGTTTCACTGAATGGATGAGTTAAATGCGGAGGTCTAATTCCTCTGTGTGCAAACACAGTTGGCTAATGGTTCTGAATTCTAATTCTAAGTTAAAACTGTGGCTTCATAGTAAGAGAATGCAGTCTACTTTCAGATTGACAACAGTGAGTGTCCTCAGTTCCCAAATGATTACTGAATGCTGTTGTGTGTGTGTGGACCACTGCCAACATTAGAGACATACACACACAGTGCCTCCAAGTAGTATTCAACCCCCTGAAGATTTTGCAAGTTTACACATTTGGAGTTAACTTGGACTGTAGATGGGCCTGGACATGTGAAATGCACTGCAGCAAAAAAGAATGTTATTCCTCTGTTTATTAATTTTTAAAAAATTTTAATTTTTTTTTTAAAAGTTTACCAGAGGGTCAGTTATTATTCAACCCCTCAAACCACCAGAATTCTGTTTGGATCCCTCAAGTATTAAGAAGTAATTGAGGCATTAAGAACAATGAGCTTCACATGCTTGGATTAATTATCTGTTTTTTCCTGCCTTTTCTGACTATAAAAGCCCCTCCCCAATCAAGTGAACAGCACTCATACATGGTCAACATGGGAAAGACTAAGGAGCATTCCAAGGCCATCAGTGACAAAATCGTGGAGGGTCACAAGGCTGGCAAGGGATACAAAATCCTTTCCATGGAGTTGGGCCTACCTGTCTCCACCATTGGGAGCATCATCCGGAAGTGGAAGGCTTATGGAGCTACTGTTAACCTTCCACGGCCTGGACAGCCTTTCAAAGTTTCCTCTCGTGCCAAGGCCAGCCTTGTCCGAACGGTCAAGGCTGACCCAAGGACAACAAGGAGGGAGCTCCGGGAAGATCTCATGGCAGTGGGGACATTGGTTTCAATAAATACAATAAGTAACGTACTCCACCGCAATTGTCTCCGTTCCAGGCGAGCCCGTAAGGTACCTCTACTTTCAAAGCGTCATGCCAAGGCCCATCTAAAGTTTGCTCATGATCACCTGGAGGACCCTGAGGCAGACTGGTTCAAGGTACTCTGGTCTGATGAGACCAAGATCAAGGTCTTTGGTGCCAACCGGGGTGTTTGGCGAGAGGATGGCACTGCATACGACCCCAAGAATGCCATCCCTACAGTCAAGCATGGTTGTGACAGCATCATGCTGTGGGGCTGCTTCTCAGCCAAGGTGCCTGGCCATCTGGTCCGCATCCACAGGAAGATGGATAGCACAGCCTACCTGGAGATTTTGGCCAAAAACCACTCATCCATCAAGGATCTTAAGATGGGTCGTCATTTCATCTTCCAACAGGACAACGACCCCAAGAACACGGTCAAGAAAACCAAGGCCTGGTTTAAGAGGGAAAAGATCAAGGTGTTGCAGTGGCCTAGTCAGTCTCCTGAAATTATCCCAATTAAAAACTTGTGGAAGGAGCTCAACATCAAAGTCCACAAGAGATGCCCAAAGAACCTAGACAACTTGGAGAAGATCTGCATGGAGGAGTGGGCCAAGATTACTCCAGAGACCTGTGCCGGCCTGATCAGGTCTTATAAAAAACGATTAATAGCTGTAATTGCAAACAAGCGTTATTCCACAAAATATTAAACCTAGGGGTTGAATAATAATTGATCCTAATTTTTATGTTTAAAATGTATTATAATTTAATTGAGCAACTTATATTTTTTGTTTGTAATATTTAGGCATCTGTTAATAAATGCTACCCTTATTCAAAGTTTGAAGGCTCTAACTTATTTGCAACTTGTTGAATTTGCAAAATCTGCAGGGGGTTGAATACTACTTGGAGGCACTATATATATATATATATATATATATATATATATATATATATATATATATATATATACACACACATTTATATATAATTTTATAGAGAGCAGAACATTTCCCAAACATGTCTTTTAACTACTTTAAACAGTCGTTTTAAAAATGTATATAGTTTGTTACCACAATATATAAAATTCACTAAATGTCAGTCACAATAGTTTTTACTATCCTTAAAAAAGTGTTCTATACAGTACTGAAAATGAGTTCTTTGACTAAGAATAGTGGAGCTCTTTATAGTGCTGTACAAAAGGGTTCTTTAAAAAACAATATACAACTGGTTTCCCATCATAGAGAAAACTATTTGACCATGCAAAGAACCATTTATTCATTCAAATGGTTCTCTGAGTGTTCATGGTTTTATATAGAACCACTGCTTTCAATAAAGAATCCTTGAGAAACAATTTTTTAAGAGGGCACTGGTAAGCTAGAATTTTATGGTCTTTACAGGTAGCTGTCTGAGCGTAGCCCAAGTGTGCAGAACCAAAACAAGACACGGACATTGCTCATGAAGATGTTTATGGCAAGGTTAATATATTTTTTACTATATGTAATAGCCATGACTTTAGGCTATATATAGTATTGCACAGACACTTTCAGAAAAAATCAAGGAGGAGCGGCCATATGGCATTATGCATTGAAATGTTCTAATCATGTTTTAGCAGAAACACAGCATTATGAGTATTGCCCAAAGGCTTAATGTTAAGATTAAGAATGTTAAGATGCTTAAGATTAATGAATTATATATACAGTGGTGTGAAAAAGTGTTTGCCCCTTCCTGATTTCTAATTCTTTTGCATGTTTGTCACACTTAAATGTTTCAGATCACCAAACTAATTTAAATATTAGACAAAGATAACACAAGTAAACACAAAATGCAGTTTATAAATGAAGGTCTTTATTATTAAGGGAAAAAGAAATCCAAACGTACAGGGCCCTGCGTGAAAAAGTGATTGCCCCCCCATTAAAACATAAATTAACTGTGTTTTATCACATCTTTGGAAAGCTGAGTTCAATTTCCCTAGCCACACCCAGGCCTGATTACTGCCACACCTGTTCTCAATCAAGAAATCACTTAAATAGGACCTGCCTGACAAAGTGAAGTAGACCAAAAGATCCTCAAAAGCTAGACATCATGCTGTGATCCAAAGAAATTCAGGAACAAATGAGAAACAAAGTAACTGAGAGCTATCAGTCTGGAAAAGATTAGAAAGCCATTTCTAAAGTTTTGAGACTCCAGCGAACCACAGTGAGAGCCATTATCCACAAACGGTGAAAACACGGAACAGTGGTGAACCTTCCCAGGAGTGGCCGGCCGACCAAAATTACCCCAAGAGCGCAGCGACGACTCATCCAAGAGGTCACCAAGACCCCATAACAACATCCAAAGAACTGCAGGCCTCACTTGCCTCAGTTAAGGTCAGTGTTCATGGCTCCAGCATAAGAAAGAGACTGGGCAAAAATGGCCTGCATGGCAGTTCCAAGACAAAAACCACTGCTCAGCAAAAAGGCTCGTCTCAGTTTTGCCAGAAAACATCTTGATGATCCCCAAGACTTTTGGGAGAATACTCTGTGGACTGACGAGACAAAAGTTGAACTTTTTGGAAGCTGTATGTCCCATTACATCTGGCGTAGAAGTAATACAGCATTTCAGAAAACATCATACAAACAGTAAAATATGGTGGTGGTAGTGTGATGGTCTGGGGCTGTTTTGCTGCTTCAGGACCTGGAAGACTTGCTGTGGTAAATGGAACCATGAATTCTGCTGTCTACCAAAAAATCCTGAAGGAGAATGTCCGGCCATCTGTTTGTGACCTCAAGCTGAAGCGCACTTGGGTTCTGCAGCAGGACAATGATCCAAAATACACCAGCAAGTCCACCTCTGAATGGCTTAAGAAAAACAAAATTAAGACTTTGGAGTGGCCTAGTCAAAGTTCTGACCTGAATCCGATTGAGATGCTGTGGCATGACCTTAAAAAGGCGGTTCATGCTTGGAAACCCTCCAATGTGGCTGAATTAAAACAATTCTGCAAAGATGATTCGGCCAAAATTCCTCCCAACCAGTTATTAGGTTTAGGGGGCAATCACTTTTTCACACAGGGCCCTGTAGGTTTGGATTTCTTTTTCCCTTAATAATAAAGACCTTCATTTATAAACTGCATTTTGTGTTTACTTGTGTTATCTTTGTCTAATATTTAAATTTGTTTGGTGATCTGAAACATTTAAGTGTGACAAACATGCAAAAGAATTAGAAATCAGAAAGGGGACAAACACTTTTTCACACCAGTGTACATACACATATATATATATATATATATATATATATATATATATATATATATAGTGGATTGTGGTATTTTGCGGTATGGTGATGAATTCACAGTTTATTATTTGTAGGTGTGTGAGGTCTACTGGAGGGAGGGGGGGTTCTACTGGGAGCAGTGCTGGTTGTACAGTCTAACAGCAGCAGGAAGGAAGGACCTGAGATAACGATCCTTCACACACTTGGAGTGAAGCAGCCTGTCACAGAAGGAGCTGCCCAGTGCTGCCAGAGTCTCATGCATGGGGTGGGAGCCATTCTTCAACCTGGATGCTAGCTTGGCTAACATCCTTCTGTCTCCCATAAGTACCAGCTTGTCCATGGCTTGTTGCAGAGGCAAGTCCTGGAGACAATGTCTCACGCAGCTGACAAGTCAGGAGGCTCCTCAGCCAGGATTCATCAGCCTGGACATAACTTTACAGGAAAGGGCAAAAATGTTCTTTACTTTCAATGTAAGTTAATGGAAAGAGATTTTATCCCATGCAATTTCAGAGCATATCTACTGGTCCATGCTTAAATGATGTAGAAAAGACTAACAATATGCTGCTTAGATGTTATTGGTATTTTGTGACATTTCAGCACTCTGGTGATGCGATGCATCCATCACAGTACTTAAACAGTGAGGGCACACAAGATCAATCAAGTTTGTGGACCCCAGTCAACCTACTAGTTTTATTCCTGAGCAGAGGCTGGGTCTAAGCTTGCTGAAATGGATCATGAAGAGTGGCTATATAAAACAAAACCGAGAAACCGTCCATGAAGGCAGGTAAACAGTCTGAGGGCTAAATAACAGGGACTCAGGCCCCCCAGAGTCTATCTTGTGCATGAGCATGTAGTGCTCAAACTTTTAGTTAATGAGTCTGACCCAGCAGTCTTTTGTAAGTCAGAGAAAGTTGCATTTTGTCAGTAAACAACACAATGAATGTTGTATTCATTGTGTTTCTAGCTAGAAATCAGTAGCATGTCACTTGTGCGGGGTTGTTATAAAGGCTACAGTGATTAACACGGGTGTTGGTAGCACAGCAGTGGTATGGTGCATAAGCAGTGTAGTTATCACTTCTGGTTGATTCAGCAGCAGTTTGTGACAATGCCTGATGTCAAAACCGCTATGTCAATAAACTTGACATTTTTAACACAAAGAAACACCATGGACAACAATCAGTGACAGTTTGCAGTAAGCATTTCTGCTTGCTGAGGAAAAGAAGAACTGTTGATGGTACTAGTGATCATATTCTTTGGTAGGGGAATGCTGGCACAGGGTCAGTGGTTATGTAGACTATAGAGTGAGAGGTTTTGAAAAAAGGTCTCACCTCGAACCGCGTAGCCATCTTTAACTGAGGCAGGAAAAGGGGGCAGGTTGTCTTTGGCATAGACGTCCTGAGCCAGGACTCGACCCATTCCATCTACAGAAAAACAAAAGGACAAACAGCTTGAAGGGGTTACTACCAAACAAAAACAACATATAATCTAACATATAATCTCAAACATTATACATAAAACACATTATTTTCCAATAGAATACATAAGGCCACACAAAATACATCCCAGTTTTTTGTGAAATGCCATTCTACTTTACAACAAAAAAAACTTACTCATCCTTCTCATTTAAAAAATTAGTCTTCTGCAGGTTAAAACTTCTACACCTGATGTACACTTCAGCAGAATCTATGGTAGACAGCAAAGGCATGCATGCTAACTCTTTTCTTAACAATGGACATACGAACAGATGGACGCTAAAGTGGAAAAATAAACCAGAGTAGAGGAAAAGCTGCAAATGAAGAGCCATTATGATGAGGGAAAACTGTGGGTGATTTTTAAGACACTGCTGATTTCATCCTCTCCTCTGTCTCTTACACGCAAACTCAGACACATATTCTGAAGAACGTCTAGGTTAATTTCTCTTTCTAAGCATATGAACAGGAGAACAATGCAGGAGAGAAGTATCATAATGGAGGAAGGGAATGGAGAGATAGATGCAGTAAGAATGACAGTCGAATGAGAGAGACCAGTCATGATTACTTAATTAAACTAGATTAAAAAATAATGACAAAAATTGGTGTTCTCAATGAATTTAAGTTATTATATGGCAGTCTGAACGATGATAATGCATATTTTAAATTCTACTACTGCACTCTTAATGGAGGAAAAAATGCCCCTTAAAGTTGACATAACCCTCTCCGAAGTAGAGGGTGAGGGTGGAACAAAGCATAAGCAAGTTTTTATATCACTCTGACATTTCTATGTATTTCATTATATAAATGGTTGTATAACAATATTTTTATTGCAAAAGTTGTGTAATGTTTGGACACACTCAAATACCAGAAAGTTTGCAAATTTAGGCCTGCCTTAACTTCTTACATTGCCAGGGCCCGACAGCAGGCCCAAAGTTTTATTACACACTTCTAAAACCTAAGAATAGCTCAGCCAGTTTGCACTACTTTAGTTACTGAATATATAGCCTTAGTATGTATTAAGCCTTAGTATGTATTAAGTCTAGGATTTTAAGGTTAAAGGCAGAGTGTCTGCATTATCCCTTACATTTTAGAGAGTAAAAATATGACCAACTTCAGACTGATTGTGCTCAAACATATACTCTGTCAAAAACTCTGAAAAATAATATCAAAACTTTAATGCTAGTGCCATTCCTATAATAAACCAGTCACTAAAATGTACTATTTTGTACTAGACATTGTTTCCTGACCATAATGTTAGACTATTACATAGATTATTACAAATCCTTGAAACAATTTTAATTCAGAGACTTAGTACAGCATAAAACAATAGTTTTGAATTATTTAATATATTTTGTGACAAAAAATAAAGAATAATAATATATAATAAGGAAATAAAAAATACAAAATATGACAGGCCAATAAAAATATAATTTTTTACATCAAACATCAGCATAAAGCTGTGTGTTCACAAAGTAACAGGAATTTCAACAAAAATTAATGCGTGAATATATAGGTAGGTGAAGTATCAAATTGATGTCTACATCCATGCCCAGACCTAGGGTTTCCCAGCTGAACACTGCTCAGAGCATTACACTACCTCCATCAACTTGTCGCTTATTGGTCCATTCATCATGACAATTTCACATAGTGTAAAGGAAAGCTGCTTAAAAATAAAAATCAACAAAAAATGGACACACTTTGCTTTTTTTGGTCCTTTTGAGGTCCCAAGAGGAGGTGCCATAATAGATGCCGAGTTTAGGGACACAAGTGCACATTATATGCTTTAGGAAATGCCGTTTTGTAGCATTGATGCAGTTTGGGAGGCCTATTATTGCACCAGCAACAATTCCTTATGGGACATTCACCAAGGTAAGCGTTACTCGAGTGTCTCAAATGTGATGACACAGAACTGTTTTCTGATGTGTTTTTTTCATATTAAATGGCATTATCATGGAAAAATAAATGTCCCTTACTTTTTTAAAGTAAAGGAGCTTGAAGTAACACAAAAATGTTGTTAAAGTAAGGTATCATTCACTACCTAGACTACACAGTCCATGTACAGAAACTAAACTACAAAAACAGTCCATTCTGAATTTACTGTTTCTGTTTTACTCAAGTTATAAGAAGTGTTTCAGCTCTGAGTGCTTTTTGAATGAGGGCAGCCAATCACAGCAGAGCTTATTTATCATCTAAGTCTTAAAGGGGAATTCAACCAAATTTTCAAAGTTCTGCAAATATAGAGATAGTTGTTCAGAGTGGATTTTATATGTAAATGTGGCCAATGATAAAACAAACCTGAAAAAAAGCTTTCTTTGAGTACAATAGGCTGCTTGTACCTCTCCACCATGAATGGATTAAAAGAGTACATTTTAAGCCAAATTTTATCAGAAAACTATAGTAAAACAACGTCTCAGACATCAGGCAGCATATTCATAAGCATTTCATGTAATAACTTTCTTTGAGGTGGGTTTTAGGGGCTTTATTAGGGGCTTCAGATGTGTGCTTCCTATCACCATTACTGTGAACAATTCAGGCTCCACGTTTCTCTAGAAAGTAGCATTTCACATCAAACTTATTTGAATAACTGTTTACATCTCAACCATTTAATTACGCTGAGTTTTTGAAAAATCTGAGGAATTCCTCTTTAAAGGCATACTAATAAAAACTGCCAGTTTAATCCTAAAAGATATATGTTCATGTAAAAATGTAGATTTTTTTGTATATAAAACCATACAAACGTTGTAAGACCTCAAGGAAATAATTATATGATGTATGGTGTATATAGTAGTTGATATTGCATGTGTTTATTCAAATCTAATTAATGGAATCATGTGTTTGAAAATTAGGATAGACACTCTCAGATTAGAAATAGCTGAAGAACAAACAGGTAATAACAACACAGCCCTCCAAAACTGAGTTACTCTCCTCACATGGACCACAGAGATGTATTTCACAGAAGCACAAAAAATGTGTAAATTCATTTTAATTTGTAACACCTTTGAGGACATCCTGAAATTAATAAATGGAGTAAGCTGGCAAAGAAGCAAAAGACAGCATAATTTGTTTGTGCTTTTTTCATTTCTGCCTTTGTCTTTGTTCCTTACACTATTCACAGATATGTCTCTCTCAGCCCCCAAGCACATATAGCGCCATCCTTACGCTCCTTCTGTGCTGATCTGCAGAAAGCACCATCATCCTGCAATGTTTTTAATATGCCCTTATTGACTTCCCTCAAATTCTAATTAGCCAGTTAATGCAAGCCTGGGTACCCACATGCCAATTGACTCCCAGCCATGGACAGCTATGTTATCCCCCAGGAACTTGCATTCTCCTAACGATACATCCTCTGAGAAAAACTTATTTAAAGTACACAGTTGGACCTCTAGACCATTGCTGTGCCTTGTTTTTTTGAGAAGTGTGATTGTTAACTTTAATTCTTTCTTGTTTCTGCTAGCCTCTAGCATACTAACCTACAGCTAGCAAAGTAAAATGATAGTAGTAAGGTATAACAGATGGAGCAGTCTGCTGCATATAGGCATAATTTTCAAACTTTTTTTTGTGGTCTGGTGCAACACCTTTAAACAACTAAGTCTGCTAATTTTTGAGGGGGTTAAAAATTGCACCACATCTCAATTATTTCTCGGCATTTATGTTGACTTGATTCCACACACATCCAAAAGCTCATCTAACAAACCTGACAAAATAAAGTAACAGAATGATGCTTAAGATCATGGGAAATCCATTGAGCTGGTGAGGGCAAGCTGATGAGGGCAAGCTGACAGAGGGCATGTAAAAACTGTACTGATACAGAGCCTTTTTATTTACTTCTTTATCTAAGTATACATGAGGCCCATGTGTGAGGGAAAAAAACGAGAAGGGTCCAGCTGCAGACCTCTAGAGCTCCACTCTGCTGAGGAGCCAATCAAATTGCAGAACTCTAGTTCCGCTCACAAATGATTTTGTCACATCACTAGGACTTTCAGAACGTAAAAATACGCCTTGCGTGTTGACGTATTTAGCGTTTGGATGAAACCTGTTTTTTGTGTTCTAAAAAGTTTGTTCTTTTTTTTTTCAAGTTCCATGTTTTCAAAGCACATTGAGCAAAACATAATGGAGATCTATTTGAGTAATATATGTGAAAAGACTATAGATAACAAACCTAAAACACTGTTTTAACAATAAAAGATGTTTTACTGTTATTTTCTTGGGTATTACTCAATTTTTTCTTTATGTAACTTGTCAAATATGATGTTTACTATTATACTGTTCTTACAGCATGTGCTTTACTCTTAATAATATAATAAATAAGTAACCTTAAAATCTTAGTTTATTATTAGTAGTTTATTTTTTCCTGTTTCCACTGCAGGTTATACCATGCAGTTCAGCTTTTATAAAGAATTTAATGGTTTGAGGTTTAGTTTAAATGCTGGATGTCAATCAGATTATATGTAATTTTAACATGTTTAGGGTATGAACATGTTTAAGTACAATACATTAAAAAAAAAAAAAGATTCGATGCATATTTTATAATTGTTACAGAAATGCAACATGGGCCTTAATTTTCAATGTTCTTCAGCATTATCCACACATCATCCCCTTTTTCTCCTTTATAATCAATGGACCCAACCCAATGTTGTGGACCTCCTGCTATGCACAATTTAAACTAGTTTCAACACAAAATATCCAATCCAGCTGAACAGGTAAATATCAAACCCTTTATAGTCAGATTTAGGTTTTTTGGAGAGGGAAATTCTTGGCTTTGTGCAGGCTTTCCTATAGTATTTATAGCATATAAATTCATACTACAGTTTAAAATATAATAATTAATTAATTATAATTTATAATTAATTTAGTTTATACATACAATAAAACATCTGCTTTATAGCTTTTATAGCTAATATTACATAAAATTAAACTTTGTTCAAATCATAATCATAAGGAGAAAATTT